TCCTTCTTACTCTGGTATATATCCGGTGGATCCCTGGCGTTCGGCCTCTTCTTCACATGCTGCCCTCGGGTGAAAGTAGCTCTGCAGTATGCGGACTAGAGCAGGAGTAAGCCGGCATTACTCCTTAAGCATTACAATATAACTGTAATATATCATGTTGTATTGTAATGATTGTATTGCATTGTCATATTGCCATTAAAGTAGATTATTGTTAACGGTTACTTTGTAGATATGGATTCCTTCCTGTATTATAACCAGCTTCATAGGAACGCGCGGAGATTTGAAAAGCGGATCAGATATCCCTTTAAATCTCCAACAGGAATGACACAATTACAATAGCAAACACAAGCTAGCGTCTAATAGTACATCCTGAGTACAGGACTGTCCCAGGAACAGTGTCTGCTCAGAGACTTAGAGCTTCAACGTGGGCGGGATGGGGGAAGAATCAAGCACGGTCCATTGAAAGCATGACTGAAAGACACTGGGATACCCACTGAAACCGAAAGTGAAAAAAAACTTGAAAGCAGAAGAAAAAGGAGAGAACAGATAACGACCATTAAAGCAAATTGGTTAAAAGAGTTGGGCATTAAGAAATGAGCTCAAGAGAGAATTGGTGACCTTGACTTTGAGTAAAAGGCATCAGCATGAGCCTTGGAAAGAGACTTTTATATGAAAGTGATATGGGAAGCAGGCAGTGCTGAGCAGGCTCAATGAAAAGACAAACGAATGACAGAGAGAGACAAAGCGTAGGAGAGGGCGAGGGGGTGATTAACAGGGTCCAAAAGAAACGTATTACATGCCCTTCGAAAATAAATGTGATTCATCTGGAATCCTTTAAGCCCCGAGTGAACGCAGAATCTGCCCATTATGGAACTTCATCATACCTCCCTCTCCCCCCCCCACACACACACTCTCCTCATCCCTCTTTCTTTCCTTGTGTCTTTCTCTGGCCTCCAGCTAATCTCGTCCCCCCAGCTGCGGTCTCTATTTCTCCAGCAGAAAGAGCCCCAGCGACTCCTGAAAGCTATGCCACTTTCTGCTCTTCTTCCTGCGCCGCATTACACACAAAGGATGGCTAAACCTCCCTTTCGCTCGGCTTATCTCCCTCCTAATTGGCTGCGAGCGGCGGCAGGTTCTGCTCCTGCCTCGGCGGTGAGATCGTTGGACGAGACTGGAGAGCTGCTGGGATTTAAATGTCAAACTGATTAGGTTCTTGGTCAAGGCGCTGGGACCCTGAATGGAGAAGCAGTCTTGTTGAAGGTGGAGGTCTCTTTTAACAGGATGGGGTCTCAGGCACAGGAGGACAGAGAGGAGAGTGGAGGCACTGAGAGTGACATATTGGAGAGGCCAGTAGAGACAGAACAGAAGGATCCAGCTTAAACTGTAGATTACTGCTGCTGAGGAGGGGCTCCTACTGGGGTGTTTGGCTACTATATGGTTGTATCAAACCAGTGGTACATTACATTGCATTACTTCATTGTTAACATGATTCCACTATTTAATTATTTGTATTTCAATGACACTGGTCCTGTAACAAAATCATTTCCCAATTGGGGATTAATAAAGTATCTATCTACCTAGATCGATAGATAGATAGATATATAGATAGATAGATATATAGATAGATAGATAGATAGATAGATAGATAGGTATATATATATATATATAGATAGATAGATAGATAGATAGATAGATAGATGATAGATAGATAGATAGATATGTAGATAGATAGTTAAATAGTTAGATAGATGGATAGATATATAGGTAGATAGATGATAGATAGATGATAGATAGATAGATAGATAGATAGATAGATAGATAGATATGTAGATGGATATAGTCTTCATAACCTTTACTCTCACTAAAAGACCGAACTTGGCAGTGTGAGAGCAAAACTTTTGTTTCTTGAGTTCATGATGCAGATGTGCCAGATGAAAGAAGTGCTGCAGATTCCCAGGAGGCGTTACGCAAGGTTCTGCTTCCCTGTTCAGGTTTGTTGTGATAGCAAGACAGGTGGCACCGCTGAGCATGAATGAGTGAACAGATTATCAATATGAAAAACTGATGAAAGATTTAGTCTCGACAGATTTCCACCTGCATGGAGGCACCTATCTCCCACTGTGGTACCTTTTGTTGAACTTGTTCAGTTCCTGTTGTAATGGACCGATTGCTGAGACTCCTGTTTTGGAGCTTTTCTGAGAATCGCTCATCCAAAAAACTCATGATTAAAAGTGAACGGGGGTCCACTCTCAATGCACAACGCAATATGTAGCCTACATAACCCAGTAGGCTACTGGTGTTAAGTATAAGTACATTTACTAAAGTACTGTACTTAAGTTCAATTTTGAGGGACATTTTATGCTACTTCATACTTCTACTCCCCTACAGTTCATGGTGTACTTTTCCTCCACTACATGTATTTAATACCTTTAGTTACAGAAGTGGATGAATGATGTGAAATCTAATCAAGTGTTAATCAGACTTTAGTTCCACCTGGAGTAAATCCACCAGCTACCCTGCAGTATACAAAGTCATTCAAACTAGCTGCTCCTTCACCAGCTGTGAGAACACTTTCATGATCAATCATTATAAAACATATCATATATATTATTCTGAAATGGACCAATCTGCACAACAACTACTTTCACTGTCGCTACTTTCACTATATTTTGATGAGAATACTTTTCTACTTTTACTTGAGGAACATTTTGAATGCAGGACTTTTACTCTAACAGAGTTTTTCTACACTCTGGTACTTCTACTTTTACTCAAGTACAAGATCTAAGTACTTCTACTTTTACTCAAGATCTGAGTACTTCTACTTTTACTCAAGTACAAGATCTGAGTACTTCTACTTTTACTCAAGTACAAGATCTGAGTACTTCTACTTTTACTCAAGTGCAAGATCTGAGTACTTCTACTTTTACTCAAGTACAAGATCTGAGTACTTCTACTTTTACTCAAGTGCAAGATCTGAGTACTTCTACTTTTACTCAAGTACAATATCTGAGTACTTTTACTCAATTACAAGATATGAGTACCGGTACTTCCTCTTTTACTCAAGTACAAGATATGAGTACTTCTACTTTTACTCAATTACAAGACCTGAGTACTTCTACTTTTACTCAAGTACAAGATCTGAGTAATTCTACTTTCACTCAAGTACACGATCTGAGTACTTCTACTTTTACTCAAGTACAAGACCTGAGTACTTCTACTTTTACTCAAGTACAAGACCTGAGTACTTCTACTGTTACTGAAGTACAAGATCTGAGTACTTCTACTTTTACTCAATTACAAGATATGAGTACTTCTACTTTTACTCAAGTACAACATCTGAGTACTTTTACTCAATTACAAGATATGAGTACTTCTACTTTTACTCAAGTACAAGATCTGAGTATTTCTACTTTTACTCAAGTACAATATCTGAGTACTTTTACTCAATTACAAGATATGAGTACTTCTACTTTTACTCAAGTACAAGATATGAGTAATTCTACTTTCACTCAAGTACACGATCTGAGTACTTCTACTTTTACTCAAGTACAAGACCTGAGTACTTCTACTTTTACTCAAGTACAAGACCTGAGTACTTCTACTGTTACTGAAGTACAAGATCTGAGTACTTCTACTTTTACTCAATTACAAGATATGAGTACTTCTACTTTTACTCAAGTACAAGATCTGAGTACTTCTACTTTTACTCAATTACAAGATATGAGTACTTCTACTTTTACTCAAGTACAAGATCTGAGTAATTCTACTTTTACTCAAGTACACGATCTGAGTACTTCTACTTTTACTCAATTACAAGATATGAGTACTTCTACTTTTACTCAATTACAAGATATGAGTACTTCTACTTTTACTCAAGTACAAGATATGAGTACTTCTACTTTTACTCAATTACAAGACCTGAGTACTTCTACTTTTACTCAAGTACAAGATCTGAGTAATTCTACTTTCACTCAAGTACACGATCTGAGTACTTCTACTTTTACTCAAGTACAAGACCTGAGTACTTCTACTTTTACTCAAGTACAAGACCTGAGTACTTCTACTGTTACTGAAGTACAAGATCTGAGTACTTCTACTTTTACTCAATTACAAGATATGAGTACTTCTACTTTTACTCAAGTACAAGATCTGAGTACTTCTACTTTTACTCAATTACAAGATATGAGTACTTCTACTTTTACTCAAGTACAACATCTGAGTACTTTTACTCAATTACAAGATATGAGTACTTCTACTTTTACTCAAGTACAAGATCTGAGTACTTCTACTTTTACTCAAGTACAAGATCTGAGTACTTCTACTTTTACTCAAGTACAAGATCTGAGTATTTCTACTTTTACTCAAGTACAAGATCTGAGTACTTCTATTTTTACTTAAGTACAAGATCTGAGTACTTTTACTCAATTACAAGATATGACTCATATCTTGTAATTGAGTAAAAGTAGAAGTACTCATATCATATGAGTACTTCTACTTTTACTCAAGAACAAGATCTGAGTACTTCTACTTTTACTCAAGTACAAGATCTGAGTACTTCTATTTTTACTCAAGTACAAGATCTGAGTACTTCTACTCAAGAACAAGATCTGAGTACTTCTACTTTTACTCAAGTACAAGATCTGAGTACTTCTACTTTTACTCAAGTACAAGATCTGAGTACTTCTCCCACCTCTGCAAATGTAATGAGTAAATAGCAGTGGAGTAGAAGGAAGCATCGCATGGAAATAAGTAAAGTACCCCAATATGGAACTTCAGTACAGCACTTGAGTAAGTGTGCTTCACAACATTACACCACTGGTTACCATTGAACCATGTCTGTCTGGTTTTCTGCCATCAGCTTGCTTCCTCCTAAAGAAAGCTGAATCGTCAGAAGAAGAAAAGTAAACGCTAAATGGAACACAGTATGAGCTCTGCCAGTTTATCAAAGACCTGAAATCAAATGTCCAACTTAAAGGAAATGTGTGACGGACAGTCCATACCTGTGTGCTGCGCAGCGGCGTCTGCCCTGGTGACGGTGCTGATGACGTGGAGGTCCTGGAACAGAGCGACTCCTTCTGGTTCCTGGAGGTCAGAGGTCGGCAGATTCAGTCTCTCCAGGCCGGTGATGGTGATCCGGGGCTCAGAGGGCTGCAGCACCATCACCACCGCATCGATGTCCAGGATGCTGATGCAAGTGTCTTCACCAAAACAC